TTCTTTAGTTAATGGCAGTACACAGGAAAATTCAAAGTCCAATCCACCATGGAGCTCTGTAGCAGCAGGAAACATCCTCTTCCCCTGAAAATCCCACAGGTTTTAACATAATGGTTGGCTGAAATCTGTGCCTTTCAAGTTAAACTAAACTGAGAGACAGTGACAAAACTGCAACTCTGTCAAACAGCAGTCACAACACAAGGGGCAAATACGTTCTTTCAAAAAGGTGCCCAAAGCTTCAGACCCTATGAGCCACAGACCATTAATTTTCAAGAGTGTAAGAACCACAGAATGCCTGCAACCTTTATCTACAAATTACATGTTTGTTGTAAATTAATCATGAATAATAAGAATATTTACTTTATCACAGATAACTGGAGGTTGAGGCCTTGTGGTTCCCTATGGGGGTTATAAGTCTTTTGAAGTTCGTTCTTTCTATTTAAATCCCACCTTTCTGCCAAAGCAGCTAACAAAAATAAAATATAAGTTCAACACAAACTCTTAATTAAAATGTAATATAAAAACATATTAGATGCAATAAAACAGACATCACCCAATTAATTAAAATACCAATCAGCAAAAGCCCAGCTGAATTGCAAAGGCATGCCTGAATAAAAATATATTTGCCTTCCTGCAGAAGGAAACCAGAAATGCGACCTGGCTAGATTCCCTCAGCAGTTGAGAAAAGGTTTTGGAGGACACAGATCAATCTTTTCTTAGGTACAACAGGCAGAAAATCGGTGGGAAAAAACAGCCTGGAGAAGGTGCAGAATATTTTTTTTCTATTATGACATCTTGTGAATTATTATTATTCATTGCATTTTCATACTGTCTTTTTTGAACTAACCAGAGCAAAAATTTAAAAAATCAGAAAACTAACATAATAAACAAATGAAAACATGGTAAAATGTTAAGAACAACCATGAAACCTTAACAATAAAAGAGACTATAACAAGCTAAAATTTTGAAAGAGGGTGGCCTTCCTGAATGTAGAGATAGTAAACACCAGTCTTATACTAAGTGTATTCCAGAGCTTGAAAGCAACCCAGGAAACAACACTTTTTCATATGCCTGTGAAGCAGGTCTTTGTAAGTTAGAGTGAGAGGCTTCACATGACACCTTGGGTCCAGGGTGGCTTATGAGCCCCCTGAGTGACCATGTATTCTGGGGATCCTGACAGTCAGACACAGGGCATCCTGAACTACCTTGTTCTTCCTCTTTTCCCCTTTGCTCTCCTGCAGGTATCCCAGTGGATTCTCCAACACTCCCAATGACCTCTATCATCAATTTCATGTAGGCATTTACTAACACAAAAGGTTTCAATACAACCCGGTGTGGTACCACAGACCAACCATATTAAAACACATTCTCCTGATGCAAGGAGGCACTGAAACCACCACAATCAACCGCCTCCAAGGCCCAGCCCCACCAGGCAGCCCTGAAGGATGCCACGGCTGGCTACTACTGTGTACTATTTTTGGTGACAAGTGAAGGCACATCCACAAGACGGAAATAAAACTGGCTTCTTCAGGCCTTAGTTGTCCCCTCAGCATGCGGTTTTCCTTTTTTGAACCAAGGATCTCCTCTCACCCAGCTGCCTATACAGTGGTACCTTGGCTCACAAACTTAATCCGTTCCAGAATTCTGGTTGTGACCCAAATTGGTCGTGAGCCAAGTTAAATTTCCCCATAGGGTTCAATGTAAATAAGGTTAATCCGTTCAGTAACTATTTTTTTTAATCAGAAAAATGTGAAGCAAAGTGACAAAGAACAACAAAGATCGTGGCCATCTCCCCCTCACCCTGAGCGTGGACATCTCCCCCGCCAGGACGACCACGATCGCACCCATCATCCCTGCATGCGCCCATCATCAGCGCGCTGAGCGGGGAGAGACAGGCACAAACACAGGCATGCTGGGGAGGAGATACGGACGCAAACAAAGGTGCACTGCGGAGGGAGAGATGGATGTGAATGCGGGTGCACTGGGGGGGAAGAGACAAGTGTGAATGCGGGCTCGCTGGGGGAGGGGGGAGATGGCCGAGATCACGGTTGCGCTCGTGCAGGAAAGACAGGCGCGATCTCGGCCATCTCCCCCCCTCTCTCAGCATGATCGTGGCCATCCCCCTTTTGGTGGCGGGGAGATGGCCATGATCGTGGTCACCACCCAATGCAGAGTTTGCGACCTGAGTCAAAATTTTTATGAGATTTTTGTTCGCAACCTGATTTGGTCGTGAACTCAGGCATTTGTGAGCTGAAGTACCACTGTACCTTTTCTGCCTCAACTCTTCCTTATGACTGGAGGCCAAGTGAGAGCAGGGATTACTCAACCTGTTGGCACCTGATGGAGTCGGGAGTTGCTGGGTGCAGGTAGTTACTCAATTCAGGAAATTGAGGAGGAATTTCAGGAAACACTGAAAATTTCAAGTGTGAATGAACACTTACCTCAGAAGCTGCCTGACGAGAAGTCGAGCTATCAGAAGGCCACAAACACCGCTCCTAGCACAGTGAAGAAAAGAAAATAATTTCTGAGCAACGATTACGAGAGGTTAGTCTCCTTTGTGACATTGTAGTCTATATATGAACTATATTTTTATTTGGCATTCCGATAACTATTTCTGTGTTTTGCTTCATCATTTATGCACTATTTTACTCAAACGTTAGCAAGTATTGCATGCTTCTTTCTTTCCTATCATGTTAGCTTGGGCCTGACCTGTTAGTAGTATCCAAGTCCAAATCTATGTGAATGTACTCAGAAGCAGGTCTGACATAGTTCCACTGAAGCTACTTTTAAACAAACAGGCAATTCAGTCTATAAGCCAATTTTCACCCAAAGCACTCCAGTAACTGTCCTTGGAATAACACAAGCCACAAATTACATGTGCCCCTTCAAAGTATTCTCAGCATGTTTGCCCCTTGCAACACTTCAAAGATGGTTCTTTACTCTTACCTGCTTCTGAACGTAAAAATACATACACACTAAAAGGCTTCTGAAAGCAGTGGAAGTGCTTTGTAAAATCAACAGTTACAGATTTTGTCTGATAACAAGCTTTAAAAGAGCCTACAAAATGTTGAATGTCACACAAAATGGCTTTTTAATCTGGTGTCTGTGGAAACTCAAATTGCACCAATGAAAGTATGGCATACGAAATATTTTTAAATATTGTATTTGTATTTTAAAACTTTGTTTATAACTTTGTTTATATCAACAAGGACACTGTGTCCATGTTAATTTAGTATTATCCCATGTCAGCATCCTCATTTTATATTTACATGAGCAAAGAATTCCAGGGCCATATATCACAACTGCCCAAGAAGTGGGTTCTCTTGTAAGCAAGTTCATTTTAATCTGCTCAGAAATAGGGCTTTGCTAATGTTGTTTCTTTGTTCTGGATCCCAATCCAACTCTCAAATATTATGAAAGCAACAAGCGCATTTCTAACTGCACCAAACAGACTGCAGTCCATTAAGATGACATGAACATAAAGGGTCTACACTAGTGTTAAGACTTGCCCTTCTTAAACATATTGGCCCAGTTCAGATGTACTGATCCTGATTTCATAAACCATGGCTGATCAGCTCCAAAATAAGCCTTTAGTATTCATGCCTCTCCCTCATCCTCCAAGCCCTTCTAGACTTCAGTGAAGCTGTCCAGTCAAAAACTCTGCTAATTCCGCTTACAGGGGAGTAAGAGCCACTGAGTGATGTACAGAAGTAAACATGTTTAGGAGTATACTGTAAGCCACAATTTCTTGGTTTGAAAAACTGGAAAAACCTTCACTGAAGCCAGGCACAGGAGAGGACAAAGTGCACAGGCTCAAAACTTGTTCCCAGACTAAGAAACTATGATTTATTTGGCTGGGATAGTTACATCTGCACCAGGCCATTGTTCTTTCAATTCCTGCTTCAGCTGATGATTTTATGGACTAGTCCATCAGGGATTACAAGCAACGCAAACTTATAAAACTTAGTCTGTCAGTTAAAAGATCTCCTAACAGGAATTATAATGAAAGCCAAAGTATGTATGTTTCCTATGAAAACTTCCTTGTACACATACAAAGAGACCATTATTTTTCAAATACATTTCTATGAAACGATATATCAAAAGCATTTCTACATACTTGGTTCAAGACTCCTTATATTACTAATGTATGAACAGGAAGGCAAATTTAGGCTGGGGAGAGAGACAAATGATAAATAAACCAACAAACTAAAATCCAATTATTAAAACTGGTCCAAAATATTAGACTTATATTTTCATTCTCCATCTCTCTCTCACAGTTTTGTGCATAACTGCATTAAATGCAGCATAGGAGACTTAATGGGAATGTTATAATGTTTCGGCTGCAAATTTCATCTAGCTAATCTAGCTAATGCAGCTCTCTAAATAGTCGCTTATCCTGGTTGATGTCCTGTCACTAAACTAGGAAACAATCTTGGTATGATGTAATTGCTGATGGTCCCATAGAGCACAACCATTTCATTCACCTATCCTGTCCTTACTCTTTGTAAAAACTGACACGATTAAGAATTATTAGTTATCGAGGAAAGAAACTTATTGTGTCTATTCCTAGGACGATTGCTAGTGCAGATGATACTAAATATGAAACAAACCTGAAAAGGACCCCGTGAGATAGAACTATATTTTCTAGGGTCATTTTCATTCAACTCCCCACCCCACCCCACCCACACCCAGTGAAGGAAATGTTACTTCCTGCTGTAAAGGTCAGTGAGCTTGCTTTAACCATGATCAAAGAAATATTTACAGAAAAGGTAGAAAACAGGTATTCCCGGCTTTTTAGAATACCGCGCTTATTTGGCATAGTGAGTGCTGCCACAAAATGGATGGCATGAGGCGTGTGGTCAAACTCAAAGCACCCAATCCACCAAAGGCAAACCAGTGAGCATAAATAAAACTATCACCAGCAACTTGCTTAGGAACTGCAGCTCAAGTGAATGCCACTACTCTGAGTCTGAACCCACACTTGTTTGTTCCAACAGACCTCCTGTTTCACAGCTCTAACGTTAATTTATTCCCAGTTTCCCAAATTGGAAACACCCCAAATCACATACAGGGGTCACATACTTTGCACTAAACATACACAAGTGTGTGCTAATCTTTTTTTCCCATGTTCACCCTAAAAAACACATAGCCCATCCCCCCAAATCATGTATAAACTCTCCTGAATACTCTTTCATTTACTTGCACATCCTCACATGCACAGACATGCAACCTTGTGCCCCATTAATCCATCACACACAGAGACATCCCCCCTCTCCCCACACCCCACCCCTGATGCTTTCTTGAAGCCTTTCCTTCTGCTCTCAGTTGCGCCATACTCATCCACCACCAGCCTGCCTCTGGTTGGACCACTAGACTGGTCAGGTTAGCTCTGTGAGATAATTTTATGTACCAAAAAACAGGTCCCAAGCAAAGGAACATAAGATGGTTCAATATAAGTTACCTTGGCCTCTTTTTAAGCAAGATTAACTGAAACACCCAGCAAAGGGTAATAAAATCCATTGAGGAAAAGCTTTGCCATTATTTTTTACCATTTCTAGCCAAATTATGGTTATACAGAGAGAAGGTCAACTGGACAAGCAGAGTTATGTAGATTTTCTGGCTTTGCATAGCCTCCAGAAGCATTAAACTAAATTACTTGTACTTGTTGAGAAATGACAACCATTCTTATGTTGACTGAAACCTCCTGGGAGGGAATTTCAGGCAGAATGAAGGCTTTTCATACACACTGTTTTCATATGTAGCTTGAAGTACCTTCATCTGGGGTCAGAAAAGGATCCCAGATGTGACTAGGGCTGTGTTTTTGGTTTGGTTTGGTAAGGAGGAGCTGAGGATGAAAGCTCCTTGACTGACAGTGGAAATAAGTAATTTGGGGACCTCAAATAAATGGGTTATTTTGCAACTCAACAGACCACTCATAAAAGAAATGCTTCTATATTCTAGTTTATACAGAAATAAAACTTGTAACCTTACAGGCAGGCATACAGCACAAATGTATGTTCAGTATAAAGTGATCCACTCAATTCATAATGAAAGGGGGCTGTCATTTTTAATGTTCTCTCTAGGTGGCAGCAAGAGGCCAGATGTGTGATTATTGTCCAGGTATAAATTTTTGCTTAACTCCCAGTTAGAATCTAAGTTGCTGTTGGGGCAGAAAAAAAGAGCTTGACAGACCAGTACACTTTTAACGAAACACTACTTCTTTAAAACATAAGCCATGTCCTGGATGTATACTACCCTAGGAAGAGCAACAGGATATTCCTAGCATGTTAATGATTTTTTATTTTTTTAAAAAGTCAGTCTCCTCCTCCCTCCCCCCATAAGATTCATGGAATGGATGTGAAGGCTTCTTTCTTCAAGGAGAAAATCTTAGAAGAAAAATGTTCTTCCTAACAGTCTAAATAAGTATGAAGACAACTAAATCATGGCAGTTTTTACACAGTCTGGCTGCAATCTTATGGATACCATATAATCTGAAGTACCACCTGCAACCTCAGAGAACCACTCTGAAAGTGGAGCTGCAACTCTGAATCCAGAATTTTCTCACTTGTAGCTAGTGTTGTTCTTTCCACAAGGGCTGTGGCTCCAAGATGACAAAACCAACCATGGAGCCAGCGCTGGGGGACATTCTGTGGGAAGGCCAGGCACCACTGACCTATGAGGAATCCTCGGAATGCCTCCAGATCCTCTGCTTGAGAAGGGTCTAAGTGTTTTGAAGAGTGGGAGAAGCACCAAGGGAATTGTTGCTTCCACACCACCACTGTTTTCCACTTTGATGCAAATCTTCCAAGTTTGAAGCATTACAGGAAGCTATACTGAAGGCACCCTTAATTAGTCTTCATGTTGTCTTACAAAAAACAAGTATTTGCACAGGGTTATGGTAGCAAAACAGGCCTTAGGATGAAGACGGTGCAGCTACATTGATTTTAAAAAAATCTTTATTAGCCTTCATTGCAGTGCACCATAAATTCAGCTAAAATTCCTCCAAAAATGGTTGGTATCTTTAAGCTTGCATGTGTGGATTTTTTTTCAACAAATAGTCCAGCTGGCCATTTTTCAAATCTAGTACAACATTGCAACAAAGTCCAAATAAACTGATACTATCCTAAGAGTGGTAATAATAGTAGTTTGTGCATCCTGCTAGGCACATCCACAGCTTGAAGAAAAAGCAGAGCAGAGAAAATGATTCTATGGTCCCAGGCATCACCTGGGGGACTGTAGAATGATTCAGATTTTCAGATTCAGGGTGAGGGACAGTACTGCGATCCCAGAGCTAGAAAACTGCTCCAAATCCTCTCACAGCCTATCTGGAAAGAACTGCCCTAGCTTGCTTTTCTAAGGCTCGGGAATCAACGTTGGAGGAAGGGGTAAAGGAGCAGATGAGAGCCACCATGATACAAAGTATTCTGATGGCACTCCAGCCTCTTCCCTTCCTCCCTACAAAGCACCTTGGCTAGATGGTCAAAAATGCCATCTAGCTAAAATCCAGAGCACAGGTGCAGTGGTGCTGGAATCATCTCCACTGCCTGTAACCCTCCATGATTCTCTTCCAGTTTACAGGAACTTTTCTGCCTTGATATTCAAACTTGCCATGAGCAAGTTTGAATATCCATTTGGAATCCATTTTGGTTTTAAAGGTTTGCCGATGTCACAGGCAATTCAGAAGAATTTCTCATCTGCTCCCAGCCACTGGGGCACCTTCAGCAGGACTTTCAACCCAAGAGTAGTACAGCTATCAGAATATGAAATTGAGAAAGCTCTTGTGTATAAATAAATGGAAGCATGTGGATTATTAACAACAAGTTATTGCAAAATACTAGAAAGTTTTAAATCTGAGGTGAAGTTTGCTTGTCAAAACATGAAGAGTTCAGTAGAAACATTTTTGAAGAGCTGGTGCTCTTAAGATTACAATTTATACACCACTCTATAATGGCCTGAGGTGAGAAAGGCCCAAAGGGAATGTAATTGGAGTTTTTCAAGCAATCCCATTATTTATTAAATTACCACTGTAAAATATATTTATGTGCACAATAAAACAACTATCACGTGTGTTTTATCCAAATGTGAAACTTGACACCAGAGCAAATTCTAGAAAGTTTGTTTCAACAGCATTACTTTGCCTGGATTTGGAAAATTATCTGTTATCCAACACATTGTTATCCATTTTCAGGCTGTGGTCCAGTTTCACTGCTAACTTTCAGCCCCCAGTGTGTTTGGGCCAAACAACCCAAGATGCAAAAGTAAATGCACAGTACTTTTGTCACTACTTTCCCATTTAGAACTGCAGCATTTTTCTCAAAAATATCTGATTCTGCAGATTTAATAAAATATGATGGGTAGCTCTTTGAATAACGTAAGATGCTCTGCCCTCAGCAGCAACAGTTAACATTTGATATTCTAAGGCTCATATTACAATGCATCAAAAACCATGGCTAAGTAATATATGCACAGAATGGAAAACAGTGATTTAGCTACTTCAGAAATGACTTAGATTGGCAGAGACCGAAAGCAGAATTTTAAAGGTACCACTAACAACAACCCAAAACTTTTGAAGACATTTAGTCCATCTGTGGAGTCCCTATTATGAGACTAACAAGCCAGACTACCTGTAATTTAGCCTTCTGTCTCTGCAACAGACCACATAACAGGCCCAGAGGCCACAGGTACACAAGAGTAACATGTTTCATGAAGGCTAAATGTGGAAAAACAGCAGCCAATACATTTTCCAGGTTTACACCACCAGATAATGCTTAGGGTTGGGAGGGGAGTTAGGTTTGAGTCCTCAGCCAGAGAAGCAACAGGCTAGGCTGAAGCCTTCCTTTCCCCCACAACAAGAGGTACCCTGTGGATCTTTTTTCACATGAACCACTGGATACCACAACGTATATACACCAAGAAAAAGGTTACTGGCATGCCTCCCATGCTAGCTTGAATACATTCAGTACTGCCTCATATTCAGCCCATGTATTCAGCCTATTCCGTTTCTACCGACTGGTATGTGTTTCCTAACATGGAAAAAGTTGGCAGCTTGCTTTTCTGACCACTGGATCAGCTTAATATAAAATTCTAGATGGCACCTGATTCACTACTTGGAGTTGCAGTAGCATGCGCTGAAGCCAGTAAAGTTCTACACCTTGCCTGATAACATGCTCATAATTTGAATCAGCACATAAATGGGGCCACAGTGAATTGCACCAGCCACAAAGTAGCACATTTTGGCTTGCCCAGCATCATGCTATAGTCATGCTACACTGCTATAGTCATGCTATATGCCCAACGTCTGTGCATATAGCATGAATATCAGCAGAGAGGAAGTCACTGCAAGTACAGCTGCCACATATGAAGAATTCACTAGATGGTCCTACTATATGTGCAAATACGCAGAAGCAGGACAAGCTAGCATTTCCAATGTCAGGAGCAGAAGTACTCAGGGCTGCAGTATTCCTTATCCATGCACTGAGTCCATGAATGAGTGTCTGAAGGATTATAAATAAGCTAAAAGAATTGAAGGAAAATGACACAGCATCACATCCTGGTCAACCTCTGCTTCCACTTCCTCCATCCTCAGAAACCATTTCAATCTCAGCCGCTCCCATAAGGAAATATACCTGCTTCTGCCTTGTATTTCCCCACAAGGTACAACCACACAGCAACACTATCCACACCTTTCATCTCTAAGTCACTATCCTATAAAAAGCCAGCAGGTTTTAGGATATAATGGGCAGTATTCAAGCAGATCAGTTTGGGTTAGTTCCTTTTCATAGACCAATGTGAAACAGGTTTTAAGCTACCGTATTTTTCGCTCTATAAGACGCACTTTTTTCCCACTCAAAAGGGGAAATGTCTGTGCGTCTTATAGAGCGAATGTGTGTGTGCCCAATGCCCAGGACGCTGCCGGCCCACCTGCACCACGTGGCACCACCTGGCCGGCACACGCTCGGCGTGCCCTGCTCCGCCCCCCTCCTCCGGCGCAGGTGAGAGCTGTTAATCACAGGTTGGTGTGTGTTTTCAAATGGCAACCCGTCTTTTAATGAAGCCCATGGGGAAGTGATGGGGAATGTGCCTGTGATTATCAGGAAGCTTTCCATGGATCAGTTATCTGTTAGTTGATCAGACACATTTTTTTTAGGATCAGTGGATATTTGAACAGCATTACCTTCCTGTATGAAGTTTATTCTTCAAAGGCTACTTAGTCCGCTGTGTGTTTGATTTACCGTACAATATCTCATTTTTTGTCAGAAGTTTTTTTCTATTATTTACTAATAGGGCAGTGTGGACATTACTGGCTTTTTTAGATTTGTTATTGAATTGTTTGCAGCAGCTCTTGTATAACTGGTGTAGATTGTGGATTCCTTCAATAATTCCACTACTGACTAAGAAAGTGATGTCAGTGATTGTGAGCAACAGAGCTTCATAAATTCTGACTCTAGTGATGATGAGTTCTATGGGTTCAACAAAAACTAGAAGAGTACTCAAACTTTAAAGTCTCTCTTTTGTTAATGACAGTGATGATGGTTCTTAATGCCACTGTTGACTGCTGTTCACTTTACAAGGTTGAAATACGGTATTAACGTATTCTGTTATAGTTTATTAAATAGTTTAATAAACCATTTGATTCAGAATATTTTTTCTTGTTTTCCTCCTCTAAAAACTAGGTGCGTCTTATGGTCAGGTGCGTCTTATAGAGCGAAAAATATGGTATATCCATCAATAAGTGTTGGTCAGATGTAGAATTTCATCTGCTTGGTATTAGGGATGGATCCTTACTCAGAGCTAAGGACCACATGTGTTTCATGAAGCAGATCCAGGTTCAGACCCCAGTATGCCCCATCAAAAAGAAATCAGACAGAAGAACTCTGCCCAAGAATGCATCCAGTCAAAGTAAAGCAATGGTTTGGTTCCGCATTACGACAGCTTCTTCATACAGTTCATCCAGCAAATATGTTGAAAATCATTAAAGCTGCATGTTTTCCACACTGTAGAAAGCAGGACCTCTTACAGTTTACAAAAATTATTTTACTAATAAAACTACTAGTGATAAAGCGACACAAATTCAGTTTATTGAAAAAATGAACATAACTTTATGAAAAACTGACATTACCAACAAAACAGAGGAATTAAAAATTGATGGCATAATTTGGCCTTTACCTATCCATAAACCTACACTTAATTAGCCAGAGAACTAATGAATTACTTGAACTCATAACAGAAGCAGAAGAGCAAAGTTTCTCTCAGATATTTTGGATCTTGTTAACCAACTTGCTTCCATTATGAGGCTTCCACTACCAAGAAGTTTAGCTTATTAGTCAGGAAACGTTCTAAATCTATGATCATGATATGAACATACATAATTGTATGACTGATATACCATTAAGAGAATAGATTCTTTTTACACAGTAATCCTTTTCCCACAAGTACACGAATGTTTCCTGGGAACATATGATGCATAAAGGTTAGGTGCAATAGAACATCCCTGCACATGTTCATGAGAGCCTATCTAAGCAGGACGTCCAGATATGAACATGGTTGGTTAGTGATACATGTCTGTTTATACTCCTCTTTCTGAAGACAAGGTATGTCCTAAAGTAAGGCTGGGCTACCTATGCCCTCCAGATGGGTTATCAAAGGATTGTTTAAACATGCCAACCCCTGCCAGTTTGGACAACACAATATGCCATAGTTGAGGCAAGGCTTGAATACTCAAGTTCTGCCCAGCATACATCACAACCCATAAATAATCCATGATCGGCTGCAGTGAAAACTAGGCTGATATGGTAAGACTGCTTCAGCATTGGATATGGGAAATCCAGATTCAAATTCCAAATAGCCATGAAGCTCACGGTTTGACCACAAACTCTTACAGTATTGTTGTAGGGATATAAGAGAATGTCCCTTAATTACTTGGAAAATGAGAAGGCTACATAGGAGCAAAACTGTGATAGCAAACAGAGTCTTAAGGTATTTACACAATAGGCAGATACATTTTAAAACTACTACTTTGGAAGAAAAAAAGAGCACAAATGCTGACAAAAGGAAACATTTTTGGTTGCTCATAAGAGAAAAAGTGGCATGTTCCACTCAACTTATTTCAATGAATAAGTGAACACAGACTTGTTTAAAGCTATCAGACCTGGTCCAACAGCAGCCATGACCATAACTTCTTTCTCTGTTTACTGGTAAGCAGTTGGTCACTGAGAACTAAGTGGATGGCCACTGAGAAACAAACCCTTTAGGACATAGTGAATAGTACAGAAGGGTGTAAACTCACCGGTTGTAAGGATTCCTCTTGCCTCCTGCTTTGGCTCTGCCGACTTATGAAGGACCGTGTTGATACTTTATAATGGTTCAGCAAGCAGATGATCACTACTATCATAACAGTTATCACCACAATTATGATGATAATCTGAACGAACTCTAGTTCCGCTGGGGGAGAGAAAGAAGAAAGAGAAATGTCACCCTTCAGGCAGACACAGGTTAAAAACCAGAATGTATAAGAAACAAGACGCGTGAACTGCTAGTATCTAGTCCCAAATAATGATACGTTAATTAATGATTGATTAATTATTCAATATATTCAATAAAAGTGTTCTTCCATAGCAAAAATCTTACAAAAATACTTTGGGCGGAATAATTTTTTGGGGTAGCAAGTTAAGGCTTCACCCCTTGGACTTTTTCCACTCCCAAAGTTGCACATTTTAGAAGAAGAACAAAACTTTGCATGCATTCATCACTTTCAGACAGAGAAGACACAAATGTACAACATATTTCCCTATCATAGTTTTTGTTCTCTTCTGCCAATACCTAGAAAAAGCTTTCCATCATTTTCTAGGTTTTGATACAGATACAGCATACCACAAGATTCAATATAAATGTAACTTTTAGGGACATAATTTCACCACATCTAGACCCTAATGTTAATTCAAAAAGCAGATCCAAATCAAAGATGGATAAATTTATCAAGAAGCTGAGATTTTATCAACAGGAGACACAATTATTCTTGATTTCAATAAGTCATCCTGGAAAGTGCATAGCAAAGTTACCTACAAATGAATTAATAGTATATTAACACCCTGTGAGGAAACAAAGAAGCTTAAAACAAAGAAGTGAATAAGTAAAGCCCCCAAGGCTCAGCACTTGTTCCTATGATTACAATCAGGTCAAACACCTCATCTGTTGGGAAGAAACCTTGGCAAAACAGGCATAATGTACTGTTGTCACATCATCATGTAATAAAAAGGAGTGTTTACAGAAGGCTGGTGTAGTCCAAGGCAGTCCTTCCCCAAAGGCATTCACGGATAGCTCTACTGTAGAAACAATACTTACCTGAATGAAGCTGCTACAGCACACACTATTAAGCTAACCCCAAATATGAGCAAAACAAGTAAAGTACATGTTTTACAACAGGGCTGAGGGTTCTTGTGGCCATTCAGATGTTGTGGGACTCCCACTCCCATTAGCCATGGCCAACAAAGCCAATGACAGGGAAGGCACAGCCCAACATCAAAAGGGCCCAAATTGCCCATCCATACCCAATTCAGAGTCATGAGGAGAAGGAGTTGATCAAAAAAGCATAATGGCACTCTTATAATACTTTGGAGTTCCATTATCAGGATGAGAAGGGCCATAGGGGGAACCACTCAGGAGGCATTGCACAGCTCATACTCCAAATCCTTTAGGAGCTTGAGTTGCACTTGTAATGCTCTTACATTATCAAAATATTAAGATCGCTATTGACTTATCTATAACTAGTCTCCCACTACTTCAGTCATAGTAAAAGGTAAAGGTTTCCCCTTGACGTTACGTCCAGTCATGCCTGACTCTAGGGGGAGGTGCTCATCTCCGTTTCCTAGCCGAGGGAGCCAGCGTTTGTCCGCAGACAGTCTCCGTGGTCATGTGGCCGGCATGACTAAACACTGAAGTGCACAGAACGCTGTCACCTGCCCACCGAGGTGGTACCTTTTTATCTACTTGCATTTGCCTGCTTTCAAACTGCAAGGTTGGCAGGAGCTGGGACGGAGCAACGGGAACTCACCCTGTTGTGCAGATTCGAACCGGCGACCTTTCGATCAACCAGCCCAGCAGCACAGTGGTTTCACCCACTGTGCCACCTGCATCCCCTTTCAGTCATAGTAGAGGTGCAGTAAGTGGGAAATGTAAGAAAAAGGTTACCAACTAGATGGGTTACTTTGAAGAAAAAGAAACCTTGAATATGCAAATGTCTCTTTAAAGGGCAACAGAGAAAAAAGAACAAGGGTTGCCTTTGCATATATCACAGCGCATTTTTTTAAAAAAGTGAAACCAGGGTGATGAGAGATTAACCTAGAAAGTCACTGTAGTTTTATAAAGTCACAATGCCCATAAAAAGTCTTAAAGATTAAAGAAAATGCTCCAGGGAATTACAAATGTTTTCCTTTTGGAAGACATGATAATTGCTTTACACGCCTCAGATTCAATTAATGCATCAATTAAAATTATGGCACTTTGGGACAAACTTGTCACATCATTAATCTTGAAGACTCACACCTTTAGCCATTCAAATTAACAGAAAAAACACATCAATGGCTGAATAATGTTCCTGTTTGTACCTAAAAAACCTATTTACAATGCAAATCTTCAACAGCAGTGCCTAAGACAGCATTCAGCCCTTTTCTGAACCAATGCATGTTTGCATACATGGATGGGGATGGCGACAAGCCAAGGGCAAAAATGCATTCAACAGTATGGACTAGCTTACCTGTTAATGAATCATGCTCTTTTAGTTGCAAGAAATTCTGTCATTCACAAAAATAATAACTGGCCTGCACTTGGGGATCTTCAGTATGCAGTCTTAGGAAAGACAGTATTAGGACTGGAAAGAATTTGGCTATTCAAAACATAACTCTGCCTAAAGATGAATAAGACTACCCTGCATTGAATGCCATTTTTCTTGGTATAAATCAAAGAAGAGCAATATGTGAGTCCTTTTGTTAAGGAATCTTGGCTGAACTAGAGATGCAAAATTTTAAAATAGTAGCAATTATAGAAAAAAAATGAAATCAGTGAAAAAGTATTTCCCTCCAGTCTGTCCTATTTCCAATTATTCTGTAAGGAGTAAGATTAGTAATTTGCATTTTAAAACAATCGAAATTCCTCCCCTTCACAAATACTGAGAACACACAAATGGGTTAGTGGTAAACTCTAGGAATCACCAACAGTAAGAACAGACATTCCAAGACATATTTCTCTGGACAGACAAAATGGTGCATAGACGATCTTATAATTTCACTATATACTGTAAGAGTTATTGATAGCCTGACAAAATGTTAAAATAACTTGTTATGCAATTGGAGAGAGACACCTTCCTTTTACTTTTCTCTACTTGTTTCCTCCTCACAGCCATCACTGGCCAAATACTTCAGCTTTACTTGAGCTAGTTATGGATTCCAGTGCTACTGTCACAAGCACCATGTGCAATATCCAGTAGATTTAACTTTTCTTCAGGTTGCTATTGCCCTATTTATTGACAACAGAGTAAAAAACAAATCCTTGATTTCTGGGCTCTATGGGTTCCCCACTGCCACAAAAGAACACAAGCTTTAAATTTAAAAAACAAAGTGTGACCATTTCTGAATTATAGGATACTACTATGCCCAAGATTTCAGAGGCCAATAACCTAACTATTTAGTTCACCCTAAGTTATATTATTTCTGTTCCATCGGAACAACAGTTGCAAAAGAGAAATAAGCAGAAAAGTAATGTTGATTTAGGCTTTCCTAGAATGCAGTGATGGCTGGAATGACGTTACTTCTGCACTGGCCAAAAGCACAGAATGCTAAATTTAATCAAGGGTCATACACGATTTAACATAAGGGCAATTCCTCCTTTACTATGAATAGTTATTTTGCAACCTGAAGAGTTATTTAACAGTCTTGGGGGAGACCAACTCTGAAAAGCTGGAATTCTGATCTGATCACCAGAAGAAAAGTAGACTTTTCTATCCCAAGCTCCTTTAAAAAAAATGCCAATGCTATTATGACACAGAAAAAACAATTCTGAAAAATTAGAGGGGAAAAGGACTGCATACGAATGTGTGTGAGAGCACACGTGTACAGAAGTGCAAGAGAGAGGTGCGCACACATGCTGAGCAATAGCCAGGCATTCTTGATCAACAGAATGTAGCTTCATTTCCACATCTTCAGTTGCAGTAGTTTCACAACTTCCAACTGCAGTGCAGTTTCTACCCCTGGGCTCTCTACTCACACATCCACTTATACAGCCACAATTATATATATGTTTACAAAGAAAAAACGTCCTACAATTTCCAGCATTCCTAAGCCAACTGTGCTTGCTGGGGAATGCTGGGAATTGTATGCATGGGTAGGGATAAAAAAGTGTCCTAGGATTGCACCCTTAGGGCTACACCTTAATCATATACTACTGTGTAGCTAACAGGTGAGAAATCCATTTCCATTCCTAAAGCCAGCACCAGGTTATAGCCACAAGGGGAATGAACAGTTTGTTCCTTTTAATATAATAGCTTCTTTGTTGCATTTTATATTCAAGCTTCATTTCATTCTCACATGCATACATAGTTACAATATCCTAGGAATGTTTTATTCTTAGTAAAAGCAACACATCCTAAAAGTTCACAATCTCCAGAATGGCAAAGAGTGCTACCCTAACAGATTATACAGATTTCTAGGAAAAAGCCTATTAGACTCTGGGGAGCCGAATGAGAAAAAGCAACGCAAAAATGCAAAATTAAAAGCCCAGAACCTTGTACACCAAAATAATCACATGCATAATGTATTTCCAGCTACCAGAATAAAATATAAAATAAGATATAAATATACCTTACATGAAAGAGTACTCCTATGTACAATACTAATACATGTTGCACCTCATCGATCTAGAAAAAAAATCACTCCTAGATCCACACACGGAAATAACTGCACCCTACAATTATTCATAAAAGAGAAAAACCTATGATTTTAATTATTCAGCCGTCCTGAACATAAGTATGGCATGCTTACAGTGTCCATGATCCTACCCACACTAATTTCAATTAAGCAGGACTAGCACCTTGGGCAGACATGCCCTGGAGGGCTATGAAGTCATCAATTAGGGGGAAACTCACTATGTTGGCTCTCAATCCAGAACATACCCCTCTACTTTCAAGTCTCTGAACAGAGAGTTGCCGATTTAACCAAATCCAACCATGACGCAAAATCTCAACAGAAATGAGACCAACGAGGGGAAAGGAAAGGGTGCGATGGAAAGTAACCTTAGGGAGAGAGGCGAGAAAGAACTTGACGAAATAAGCTAGGCGAGAGGAGAGGCGAAAAATACCTCTGTCGAAAACCAGGTCTTTCAACTGAGCATCCTTCAAGGTTGTACTGTTAAGCTGGTCAGTGGACATAATCGTGTCCTCCTCCGCTGGGAAA